GTCAAGTTCCTTATAAGTCAGATTCCGTGTTGCTTCTGATGGCAGAACTAGGATCAGTTTCAGAGAGCTGCCTGACAACGGAACCACCAGCCCCACAAAGTAACTAACTCCTGGACTGTGAAAACCTGAGGCCGGGGACCCACCCGGTGCCGGGATGCCAGGATGCCAGGGGTGCTGAAGATGGAATTCCAGAATGCTTGGGAGGCGGGACCAGACGTCCCTTAGGTTCCTCACTAGCTCCAGGAACTGGATGACCACTTCCCTAAATGACTGAATTCACTAGGGGTCCTACTTGCACAGGAGACCAGAGGCCTTAATGAAACTCCAGGCCAAGCAATGGCTTCCCCAGGCTGAGTCCAGGGCAAGGACCCCCAAGCCAGGAAGGCGGCAGATCTAAACCCACGCTGTTGGGAAGCCAAGCTGCTTTGTTGTTGCGATAAGCCAGTTTCATTCTTAAGAAATCCCGAGTCATCAAAAATGGATATGAAAACTATTCTTTCAGGTTTAAGGGTTAAAGGTTACTTTCAGTAACAATGCTATTTTTCCAGCAAGAACTTCAGAAACAGAGGTTTTAATGGCTGAAACTCTCTCAAACCTCAGCAGTACCCAACAAACCCCATAGTTGCTTTCATTTGGATTTTGCTCAGTTTTACCATATTCTTGTATCATCATGGCCAGCTTGGTGCTTTCTAATCCACTGGTCCTCTTTCTCACCCACTTTACCAGAAGCAAAGCACCAAACCTCCCGGCAACTGTAGCTCCCAGCTCTGCTGGTTTTCCCTCGTCACCGATCCAATGCCCACTGCACACAGGCACACTCCCCAGTCCACTGACGGTCTTGCGGCCGTGCGAGCAACGACACTTGAATTCCTAACTCCTCCTCTGGGCCTCCCAGACTCATCACCTCAACACCCCCTTCTCGACACTGAGAAGAGTGGACTCAGCCCAAAGTCCCCAGAGCAAGTAATTTCCTTAAAGCCACATGGCTTATTTTTCAAAAATTCAGATCACTTTGATTTGCTACTCTATAACGTAACCATGTTTATTTTAATTAAAAAATATGATTTTCCCCAAAATATCTGAGAAAAACTGTCATGCCAAGATGATGTGTCAAATTAATCTCCAGATCTCCTGTGTCCCTGGCACATGCGATCTCACCGATGACACTCGAGCCCCCATCTGAGAAGCTGAAGGCCCAGCTCCTATGAGTGGGGCAAGAGGAAAGGCCACCCCATCTGCTTCTAGCCAGTGAGCCTTGCTCCCTGGCTATAGCTGAAGGAACCAGAGTTGAGCTGGTTCAATTCTCTCTCCTGAGAATTTGGAATTGCCACTGAGACCTGTCGATCAGTCTGGGTGACAGTTCAGAGCAGGTGGTGGGTCATGTGTGTACACATCAGGGACAGGAGAAGCGTACATATCAGGTCTACTGGATGAAGCGGGGAGCAGTGGGAGGCAGAGATGGGGGCCCTGGGGTCCCAGAGAGAAAGAGGAAGGGCCTTAGAATCTAACTGCCCCCTGGTTCCAGCGCTTAATGAGGTCTGATACCACTTCCTGAACTTGTCCTGAGATTCTCCGCACCCAGAATCTTAATAAATATACCTCTTTGGTTTAAAGAAGAATAGGGCTGGCAAGTAGGCTAACAACAAGAAAAGGCAGAGGAACAAAAACTTGAGGGGTGACAGCCTGCCCCGGAGGGTATCGGATGACAGAACGAGAGGCCAGACACTGTTTAATTCACCTCTGCACCGCCCCCACCCTGTGCAGGCGCAGGCCCGTGGTGCCTGGGTGACCAGGTCCTGAGCTGAACACCGGTGGGCTCTCTGTCCCCACCGACCAGCAGGCCCCAGCCGCTCACCTGCCACACAGACGTCAAAGTAGTCACCAAACTCGCCTCGGATGTGCTTCACCAAGTCTGCGGCATAGTTGAAGCCTCCTTCCTCCTCTTCCCACTGGTCACCTATGGGGTCTGCAGGGTTGAGGTCACAGTGCTCGGTCTCACCCAATCTCCAGGTCGCCTCTCTGTTCCTTCTCCCTACCCTACGCCCAGGACCATGAGCTCCTCGGAGGCAGAGCGTTCATATTATTTAAGTTAGTGTCTCTGCCTGCTGACGCAGCAATTGGTAAACAGTGAGAGGGAAGACAGCAGCCAGCCCGTCAAACACTCACCGAGTACCACCTCGGCGGGCACTGTGCTGGCAGTGGCAGACAGGGAACGGTGCTCTCCATTCAGCCTGGAGCATCGGAGAGCCCATCCCTACTCAAACCTAGGTGTGTCCGGGCCCCCTCACCCAACCCCACTGCTCGCTCTCCCACTCCCTGGGAACCTTTGCCTCCCGGGAGAATCTTCTACTCAAGTGAGAAGTGCTCTCTGCTGTGGGGAGCATGAGGCCATGGGTTCCCGCCCAGCAGGATCCAGCTTCCCACACCTGTGTGGCCCAATGACAGCAGGTGCCAGAGGCATAACCTGCTATTCTCAGTCCTGGGACTCATGGCAGAACCGAGCTCTCTGACTGGCTCAAAAGCTGGGTGCAGCCAGTGGTCGATTAAGCTGGGTACAGTCAGGCCAGAGGGTTATCAAGCACCAGCTGTAGTCAGGCCTGAACTCCTCCTGCGAGGTCAAGAAGTCAAGAGGTGGCTCCATCTGCGTGTCGCCCTTGGTACTCCCGACCCACGATGCCTACTGATGCTACTGGCAGGGGTGGGGCTGAGTGTACTCAGCGCGGGACCCGGAGAAAAGTAAAGGACCATTCCAGGGACAGAAGAAGTCTCTGGGAAAGCAAGACCCCAGAGAGTAGAGTGCTGGCTCCACACCTCCCCTCAGTGCCAAGATGTTCTTCAGGCCCAGCCGCTTGGCCTTGTGCAGATGGCCCGTGATCTCCTCCCGGCTCTGATGGCAGCAGGTCATGTGCAGGACGGTCTCCAGGCCACAGTAGTTCACAGCGGTGCTGGCGATCACCATGGAGGAGGTCTCCTTATCTGAGCCAGGGTCCCCTGCTGGGTGCCAGGTCACATCTATGAAGAGGGGCCCACCTGCCCCCATCCGGTCAAACCTGCAGGGAATTTCTTTCTGAAGAGGGGCTCCTGGGGGGCGCACCACCATTTGCCACCTTCTCATGGGGTCTGGGAGTCAGAGGAGCATCACGAGTCAGGCTGGAATCAGACTGACCTGCAGTCATATCCTGGCTTTGCTACTCATTAGCTGTGTGATCTTGGGAGAATTACTTAATCTCTCTGAGCCTCAGTTTCCTCATTTCTACACTATGGCAGAGGACAGTGCCTACTTCATGACACCGAGCATATCGTGATACGTGGCTCCATGGCTCTTAGAACACTGCTGGGTACACAGTGAACATGCAATCAATGTGCATTATGATTACTCTTGTGATGAAGACAGTACACAATGACAAGGAAACCATTGTGTGGGAGAGCAGCAATTTGGACTTTTCAAAGTGCTTGCACATTTATTATCTCGGGTGAGTTAAGACATTTTGATGGAGAAGAGTTCCCTGAGAGTGGCAAGCAGGGCCTGATTCCAGGGACAGAGAGAGTCAGGAGACACAAGTTTCTTTCATGCTGTCCCCCTAGTCCTGATGCAGCAGCCGGGAGTCCTGCGGAGCAAGGACGCACTTCCCGAACTAGAATTGAGAGCCACGCCTGTGCACATGCGCTGTGTTATAAGCTAGAACACTGTGCATTTGAACATTTTTGTGCCTTTAAACTTCACAGCCTTGGGAGCGACACGTGAGAAGTGCAAGTGATAAAAAGCATCAACTTTAAAAAAATGAACTGTGATTCATAAAGTGCTAATGGAATCCAGCTGGCATTTCTAGATCTCAAGAGGCACAATCCAAATTCCTAACTTGCTGAAAATGTTCTCCAAGCTGCTGTTTGGTCACTTCTTAAACTCTACTCAAGATCTAGTCCCAAGTTCTGCCAAAGAATGCAGTCTGAGAGAATCAACATTTTTAACTCTTTGAAGAGCGTGTCTAAAAATTTCAGGTGTTTGAAGGGACTTTTACAGGCAACAGAAGCTGCAAATCGAAGGATCTACCCTGGCTTTGCTTTTTCCCAACCCCTGTGGCTGCCTTTTTCTGCCGGGTCAAAGTGCAGCCCTGCCTCTGGACTGACAGCTCACCTTTTCCTCCTGCCCCCACCCCCTAGTCTGGCCCTATTCCTTAATCTCATATCAGCTCACCTTGAGATGAGATTGACTGCGCCCTGAGCAGTTCGAGGAGGGAAGAATTCCAGGGAGAACCACTTGTCACCAGATTCCATCCTCCGCTTCATCTTCTCCTTGAGTTTCTCATGCCGCTCAGGGTCCAGCCCCGGGGTGGAACACCTCGAACTCTCCTTGGAGCTCTCACTGCCACTGCTGCTGCCCTCCGAGCGGGGGTTGGGGCCACCATTCCCTCTGGGTTCGTTCACCATGGCCGAGTTCCTGCTGCACGGGGTGAGGGCGGGGGGCGTGAGACGGCAGACAGCCAAGAGCCCAGTGTGGCAGGGTCAAGTGAGAGATGATGCATTTCCAGGCAGGAAGAAGACCGGCGGGGGTAAGGGTGACGATGCCCCCGCCCCGTGGCTCTGCACGCCACAGTTACCGCCGTCTGCGCTGCCTCGCTCCAAGCTTTGCCCTCCGCCGCTGCCTGACTCCACATAGACAGCCCCCACCCAGCACAGAAACACGCTCCTTCAGCCCAGGGAGCCTCCGTGACCGCTACCTGATGCAGGGTGGCACAGAGAACCTCGCGCTGCCGGCCTCCGAGGCCCGCATTCCTCGGGAGGGGCAGCAGGGCCCCACTGCGGGGACCCTGGGTTTTGGCCGGTCCATCTCTGCCAGTTTAGACTCAGACCCCAGACCTCTGGGGAAGAAACGGGTGTGTCCGACTGGGCGGAGCTGTGACAAAGGAAGAGCCCGGAGCTGGAGCTGGGGCCGGAGGCGCAAGGGGGCGGGGGCAAGGCTTCTAGGCGAGAGGGAGGGCTGAGGCTCTAGTTGTAGAAGGGGGAAGGAAGGAGGGGGACGCGGAGCTGGACACCGCAGGGTCTGGGTGGAGATGAGGCCAACAGATGTTCAGGGTCACTGGATCACTCTCTGAAGAAGGAACAGCTTGGCCTGGCCCTGCCTGGAACATCTATTAGTTGGAACAGTTTGCACGCATGAAGGATGGAAGGGGTGAGGGCTTGACAAAGCAGCCAGATTTCTCCTGAGTTTGGGCTACTCCAAAAAGACCATATCATGGGTAAGAATTTGACATTGGCTGGGTTCCAAAAGTAGCCAGACCCAGGTTCAATAAGGGTGTGAATTTATGTCCAGTTCAGAACAAGGGCTGTCTGGCCTGTGCCTGCCTTCCGGGCTGTTCTTACATACACCACCGAAGTCGGTTAAAGCAAGTATAGTGACTGCACAGCTACCAGAGCTGAGGCCCTGAGCCATGGCAACCACAGGCAGGCCGGCAAGGGCACCATGCCACTGGGCAGTTTGGTGGAGAAAATCAGACAAAAGCTTTAAAACAAAACACTACTCTCGCACAACAAGGTGCAAACACCCAGTGGTGAAAATTGGGTATCTGGCGACTTTGGAGCATTAGAGGGACAACCAGGCCAAATTCATGCCTTTCAGAGAATGTCCACTGCTAAGCTGGTGTTCTTAACCATTTTGGGGTCCTAGGCTCTCGAGAAACTGATGAGATCTGTTGCTCCTCTCTTACTAAAACACACAAGTGCACATAACACACACTGGTATATCCAAAGCCACGGAGTTGACACCAGACTTTGCTTTCTACTCCTAGGGATGCTTATTTTGATTCTGACCCCAAATTCCAGTTTCTTCGTGGGGGTGAACATCAGGAGCGAGAAAGAGGAGAGTGTCAAGGTCAGCCTAGTTGGCCTTTCTCCGTAATTCAAGAGAGAGCCTCATTACTTGTCTGCTGGAACAAAGCCAAGAGAGTGGGGAGGAGGCTGACCCCTACGAACTATCTGCTCTTTCATTTTTTCCATAAAGACTTATTGCGTTCCTAGTATGTGCCAGGCACTGGCCTTCTTTCAACCTTTTTCACGTGCTACCTCTTACTCATGTGCTACCACTTACTCACTTTAAGCTGGGCTCCCATAGCACCCTGGGTTGTAACTGTGGGTTCACAGATTTGTCTCCCCTCCCTCTTCCCAGCTCGCTGAGACCAGGGCCAGGTATTCTGCCTATGGTACCCCAGTGCCTGGCACACAGTAGCAACTAATAGCCAGTACTCACTGACGGCCAAAGGGCCGGGCACTGTTGTTCCTTTCTCAAAACAATTTACTGAGCACTTAATCTGCCATTTACTGAGCACTTAATCAGTGCCAAGCACCGAGCAGTGGGGAAATACGGAGTCCACCACTCCCAGCAAGGTCCGGGTGGGCACCTGTGTGCGGCCCGATGCAGTGCGTGCCGGGATAGCAGTGCTAGCGGCCCAGGGCTCCTCTCCAGGTGCTCGGCGAGGAAGCAGGTTTAAAGGGCTCGAGCCGAAGAGACGCCTCTGGCGCCCAGGTGGCTCGTGGGCCGCAAATCAAGTCACCAGGTCACTGGGTCACGGGCGGGGGCGGAAACGAGGGCCCAGGCCCGGTCCCGGGGCACCAGGTCACCGCCCCTGTCTCCGAGCCACCTCAACTCTGAGATCCAGGACCGGAAGCCCAAAGCGAGTCTTTGCTTCAGGGCTGGGGGTCGCGGGAGTAGGGGTTACAATAGGCCCGCGGAGGTCGCGCGCCCGCAGAGAGGTTGGGCCAGCTTCGGCTGCTCCCCGCTCACAGGCAAGAGGTCCGGGTGGGTGGTCCTCAACTCCCCGGTCTCTCTTCCCGGCGACCCCATGCCTCGGCATCACTCACCTTCGGGTCGCGGATGACTCAGAGCGCGCGCAGGTGGCAGCTGCTTGGCCGCTCTGGGGGCAGCAGAGGAGGGGGCGGGGCGCCTGCGGAGGGGCGGGGCGAGGCGCAGGTGTCAGGTTGCTGAGGGGAGGCGGGGCCAGAGGGCGGGCACCACCCACGCTGGAGCCTGGAAGCCCCGCCTCCAACATGGCCGCGCCCAGAAGTCTCGTTGGAAGCCGTGCCTCCACCGTCATGTGACGCGGGTCCTCGCCCCACCCGTCTGCAGCCACTCCCTGTCTCCTTCCCCAAGCTCGAGAGGGCCACGTGACACACCCGGGGCCAGTCACGTGAGGCGCGGATCCTGGCTGGGAGGGGGTAGGCAGAGGGGTCCAGAGTGGCAGTAAAAGAGGAAGATGGCGGGGTGCAGGGGGTCCCTGTGCTGCTGCTGCAGGTGGTGCTGCTGCTGCGGTGAGCGTGAGACCCGCACCCCCGAGGAGCTGGTAAGGAGCGGACGGAGCCGGGCTGAGGAGGGGGCGGTTGCTAAGGGACGGCGAGAGGCGTTGCCGGGGGTGGGGCCGGGCAGAGCTGGGCCTGCGGTGGTAGCGGGTGGGGCCCGGGGATTGCAGCCTAGGCTCTTGAAGCGTCTGATTTGCTTCACGTGCCCAAGTCTGGGGTCTTTTCTCATAACCCCTCACTGGAATCTGATGGAGAGTCCAGTTAATTCCAACCTTCTTTTCTTTTCTTTTCGTCTGAAAGGAGTTTTGAATGAAGCAAGCGTTTTCAGAATGAGCCCCTTCACTGGACATTGTGCATGTCATGCAGCTGGCTTAGTTTCTCCAGCCTTTTCTCACTCTATTCCTCACCCTTTCTGGGTCACTGATAATCCAGCTTCCCTCTGCAAAGCACCCTGGGAAAACTTGAGTTGTTGTGTCCCCAGAGTTGACAAGTCCCTCCTGATTTCAGATTTGACACATTGCCAGATGGAACCTGAATTTTTTCCCCCTTAAGGTGGCGAGGGACATCTTTGAAATGTCCTGAAGACTAGAGTGGATATTTGGAGAATGTATCAACAGAAATGAAGAGCTCAGCTGGATGTCTGTAGATCCCCATACACATCACCCCCATCTCAAAAGGTTCTTTTTTTTTTTTAGGTCATTTTCCATTTAATGATAAAGGCTCCAGATGATTTAGAAAGTAGCAGCTGGTTTCAGTAAATACTTATGCCTCTTTCTGCTTTTAAAACCATTAAAAGGGTCTTCCTTCTGTGAATCTGTTTTTCTAGACCATCCTTGGAGAAACACAGGAGGAAGATGATGAGATCCTTCCGAGGAAAGACTATGAGGTAAGATTCTTAAATACTGTCTTCGGTAACAAAATTAGAGAGCAATGTGCTCACTTCAGATGGAAGCATTAGGATTCCAACCAGAGATGCTCTTTGGCCTTCTCTCTTAGAGAGTGAGTAGGTATGTTTTAAGTTTTGTTTTGTTTTTGCAGTCTTTTTTTAATTGAAGTATAGTCAGTTTACAATGTTGTGTCAATTTCTGGTGTACGACATAATATTTCAGTAATACATATGCATACATGCATTCATTTTCATATTCTTTTTCATTATAGGTAACTATAAGATATTGAATATTGTTCCCTGGTCTATATAGTAGAACCTTGTTTATTTGTTTTATATGTTGTAGTTTGTAGCTGCTAATCCCAAGCTCCTAATTTATCCCTCTCTTCCTTTCACCTTTGGCAGTGATTAGTTTATTTTCTATGTCTGTGAGTCTGTTCCTGTTTTGTAAATAAGTTCATTTGTAGCATTTTTTAAGATATGAGTGATATATGATATATGATATTTGTCTCTCTAACTTGCTTCACTTACTGTGATAATCTCTAGGTCTATCCTTGTTGCTACAAATGGAATTGTTTCATTCTTTTTTGTGGCTGAGTAGTATTCCACTGTGTATATATACCACATCTTCGTTATCCATTAATCTGTCAATGGGCATTTAGGTTGCTCCTATGTCTTGGCTATTGTGAATAAGGCTGCTATGAACATTGGGGTGCATGCATCTTTTCAAATTGTAGTTTTCTCTGGATATAGGCCCAGGAGTGGGATTGCTGGAGCAGTTGGTAACTCTATTTTTAGTGTTTTTTTGTTTTTTTTGTTTTTAATTGAAGTATAGTCAGTTTACAGTGTTGTGTCAATTTCTGGTGTACAGTTTAATAGTTCAGTCATACATATACATATATATTAGTTTTCAAGTTCTTTTTCATTATAGGTTACTATAGGGTATTGAGTATGGTTCCCTGTGCTATACATTATAAACTTGTTTGTTTTAGATATAGTAGTTAGTATCTGCAAATCTCAAACTCCCAATTTATCCCTTCCCACTCCTCCCCAACCAGTAATCATAAGTTTGTTTTCTATGTCTAAGAGTGTTTCTGTTTTGTAAATAAATTCATTTGTCTGTTTTTTAGATTCCACATATAAGTGATATTGTATGGTATTTTTCTTTCTTTTTCTGGCTTACTTCACTTAGAGTGACAATCTCCAGGTACTTTCATTTTGCTGCAAATGGCATTGTTTTATTCCCTTTTATGGCAGAGTAGTATTCCATTGTATAAATATGCCACAGCTTCTTTATCCAGTCATCTGTTGATGGACATTTAGATTGTTTCCATGTCTTTGCTATTGTAAATAGTGCTGCTATGAACATTGGGGTGCATGTATCTTTTTGAATCAAAGTTCCTTCTGGATATATGCCCAGGAAGGGGATTGCTGGATCATAGGATTAGTCTATTTCATGTCTTTTGAGGAATCTCCATACTGTTTTCCATAGCCACTGCACCAAACTAGAATCCCACTAATGGTAAAGGAGGGTTCCCTTTTCTCCACACCCTCTCCATCATTTATCATTTGTGGACTTTTTAATGATGGCCATTCTGACTCGTGTGAAGATACCTTATTGTAGTTCTGATTTGCATTTCTCTGATAGTTAGCAATACTGAGCATTTTTTTCATGTGCCTATTGGCCATTTATATGTCTTCATTGTAGAATTACTTGTTTAGGTCTTCTGCTAAGTTTTGGATTGGGTTGTTTGTTTTTTTATTATTAAGTTGTATGAGCTGTTTATATATTCTGGAAATTAACCCCTGTCAGTCCCATCTTTTGCGAATAGGAAATGTCAGTTCTTGATTGTAATTCCCAATTTCAAGTACAGGACTCACAGAGAGAGAGGGGAGAGGGAGAGAAGGGGAGAGAGAGAGTGAGTGTGTGTGTGTTTGTGTGTGTGTGTGTGTTTGTGTAGTAAGGCCAGCGCTGCTGAAGTGCCTTTTTGTTATTTAATCAGTTCATAATGACATTTCTATGACTTTTAAAATGGTAAGAACAAGCTGCAGTTGTGATAGAGGATTCTTAAATGATTTACAGAAAGAAGCTAGGAAGAAAACCCCATAACCCTGCTCATTAAGAGGTGACTATTCACTTTACTAAATATCCTTTTCCATGCTTTTCTTAAGTAACAAAGTGAGATTCTGCTAAATATACTATTTTAATGTGTTCTCACCCACACACTTGATAACAATTTTTGTATCAGTAGATATTTTTCTATAGTATCTTTTTAAGTAGGAGAATTGTATTTCATTATGTCACAGTTTCTTTAATCTGACCTTTCTACATAATGAACTGCATGGTGGTGACCATCCTTTGTTGTTCATCCTTAATTGCTTCCTTACGGTTAATTCCAAGAAGTGGAATTAATCATGTCTATGTTTACTGCTTTTTTTTTAAGAAATGTCATGCTGACTTTAAAAATTCAATACTCTAGAGCAAAAACACTCAGGCCAATTTTCTTTTTAATATTTCATCTTTTTCTTGCTGTAGAATTTAGTGTAACTATTATGATTTGCAGTGTAGTGTGAAATTAAAAAAAATCTTTTACTGAAGAGAATTTCAAACATAGACAAAAATGGACAGAACAGTATATTATTGAAACCCTCTGTCCTCATCACACACCTTCAACAGTCCTTCAGCTCCTGCCCAACATTGTCTGCTCCATGCTCCCATCCACTTCCCCTTCCCCATATTATTTTGAAGGAAATTCTATACATCACATCGTTTCACCTGTAAATAATTCAATGTGCATCTCTAGTGGGTAAGGACTTTTATTTTTAGTATAACCCAATACCATTTTCATGCCTAAGACATTGATAATAATTCCTTGATATCTAATATCCCGTGTTAAAATTTTCCAGTTGTCTTATGAATGGCATATGTACTTTTTAATTGTTTGAATTAGGTTCCAAATAAGATCCTCACATTGCATCTGCGTGATACATCTTTTAAGTCAAGCAGATTTAAGATGAAGTAGATTGCACCTTAAAGTAATTTTAGGACTCTGGAATTTGCCTACTGCACCTCAGTGGTACAGTTTAATATGTTACTCTGATGCAAATACTTTGAATCAATCAAAAAGCACTGTATCCACTGACATATTTTCTCATATTTCTTAAATGTTTGCTTCCTTGTACATAGTTGAGAGGTTTACAAGAATTAGTATAAGGTGGTCCCTGTTATGCTGTCACCTGGCACTTTGTCATTGCACCTAGTGCCTAGTGGTATCATCCTGACCGTATTACTACGTATTACTACGACTGACGCTGTCTAGACTTCATCCTACTCCTAGGAGCTCACCATGGCATCCCTGCTCTGTTGACCTACTGTTCCCTAGACTCCTTCACTCCTTTCATTAAATTGCAATCATATTTGTGATGCATTTCCTTTCAGCTGATATGCATATTTACATAACTTTTATGCATTAATAGTCTTTCATGTGAGTCAATATTACTCAATTAACGATCTCTGCATATGAGCTTCTTGAGAGCATTTGCTGTGTGTAAGAGGATATTTCACTAGGTGCTTAGTCAGAAAAGTCTGCTCAGATGTTATTTATGAGAGGATCAACAAGAAAACCCTCCTGCTGAACATCGTTCTAAAATGTGCTCCTTCTAGTAAGAGTTCATTACACACACTTGATTCTTCCTATGATAAGTTGGAGGTCTTAAAAGATGTTAGACTCTCCACTTTGGCGTCCATTCTCATTGTAGTTGGTTGGAATAATAATAACTCCCTACCTTGAGTTAGAAAAAGTCACCCCTCAGAGTAGAGGATTAGAATAAAAGGTACATTGAAGGTGCATTTTGTGTGAGCACCAAATTGCCCTTCCTGGGTGAATTGGGGCTCCATCTCAGTCTCCATTTGCCCCCACGGTCAGGTGTCATTTTTGCTCATAACCATAGGCAGTGGCCCAGCAGGCCTCCTATACAAATTCTATTTTTTTTTAAAGTTGTTAGTTCCCCAAACCAAAGAGCAAGATATACAGCAGAAATAAAAGGAAGCTAGTCTTGGCAAAGGAGAAGTAACAATATCTAGTTTTAATAATCAATTGTACTGTTCATTGGTACATGTTTAGCAAGTGTCAAACTTTCAGCTAATTTATTAAAAAAGAAAAAGGAAAGGTTGACGTTCTGGTATTTCAGTTGTTTCTAAATGTCCCTTTTAACAGCTTTCTTGAGCTTTAATTCACGTTCTGTACAGTTTACCCACTTGAAGTATACAACGCAATGGTTTTTTTAGTATATTCACAGAATGGTACGGCCATCATCAAATCAATTTCAGACATTCTCATCACCCAGAAGGAAACCACGTACCCATTAGCAGTCACTACCCATGCCTCTTGCCCCTGACTGTGGGCAACCACTAATCTGCTTTCTGTCCCTGTTTCTTTGCCTATTCTGGACATCTGCAAACCTTTTGAATGTTAATGGAGCCATCATATTATTAGACAGAACCATACAGCAAATAATTAATTGGCCAGTAATTTGTATACATAAGTGGTATGAAGGATAGTCATTTTTCAGCGTTAACTTTTTCCATTTGTTCCTAGAATGTGATATCACTTAATTGATTAAATATATGTATATATGTGTCTATATGTGTGTGTGTTTGTATGTGTATATAAATATGTATGTTTGTGAACAGCTGACCCTTGAACTACACAGGTTTGAACTGTGCTGGTCCACTTGTATGCAGATTTTTTTCAATAAATGTAGTACCCATGTTTTCATCTTACCGATCTTTGAGTGTCAGGAAAAGTTTGTATTCCATTAGAGATCACAGTATGTGGAATCAAAAGAACTAGGGTTTGATCCTAATTCTATCCAAACTGTTTCATCTTCCTGCCCTGGAGTGAGTCATTTATCATTTCCTTCATTTTTGAGGCGAAAATAGCAATATGCAGATTGTCAACTGCATAGAAATTCACTTGCCCATAACCCCTACATCGTTCAAGGGTCAACTGTATGTATGTAGGTATGTATCATACATGTGTATACATACATACATAATCACTAAATACATGTATATATTTAATCAGTCACGGATGAGTCTAGCTTCCCAGCAGAAATATTGTTTATTGGTTTTTTTGTAATCAGGAAAACAATTTTTTTGGATATAAAAAGTACACCATGTTTGCTACGAGAATTTTAAACAATACCTTGATGTGAATGCCTCCTAAAACACCTCAGACATAAGCACTGTGAACAGTTTACCCAGATGTTTTGCATTGTGTGCTGACATAACAAATAATCTTTAATTTGTTTAATCAAAATAAGATCATATTATACATTTTATTCTGCATCTGGCTTGCTTGCTTCTTTCTTTCGCATCTTGCCCTTTTGCACGTGCTCCACGTCTGTCTTACGTAGACCTGTTATAATTATTTTATGGCTACATGGTCTTCCACGTTTGGGTGGATGGTAATTGATTCCATCAAGTCACCTGTTGATACTCTCAGAACCTTTTAAAAAAGGAATTTGGACTTTGGGTAATCATTTAAATGTAATAAACTGTCACATGTCACACCTGTGTTTGGCTGACTGTGAACTCCCACCTGGGAGTGTGTCTACCGGGCCAGTGTCCAGTTTGTTCCTGGGCTGATGTGTGGGTACCACAGGTTACGGGCAGGGAGCACACAGCAAACTGTTTCCCTTTGGCGCCAGACTGCTGCTTCCCATGCTAGAGATAAAATTGTCTCCTTTGAATTATTTCTTGAAATGTCTGTGGCAAACCTGCATATTGTTTGCAGAACAGCTGTGTTCTGTGAAGCAGTTTTAAGGAGCTGTTTTAGGAGCTGGGCTGAATCTGTGCTTCTTCCTAACATAATTTGAAGTTGTTTTTAAAACTAGTCTATGTTAGTACATCTCATGACTAACCTCTTTTTCCTAGATGGTAACTACAGAAGATACTTAAAATTAACAGGCTTTCTAACTTAATTTGCTTCCGGTTAATTGACACTTTTATTCGTCTAACGGAGTAAGTTGGGTAACGCTGTGATAGCAGAAGGTCTTTTAATGTTTGGTAGAAACAGGACATTTAAAAATACGCAATTTCAAACTTCCTGAAGTATGAAGCATGTACCTGAAGCAGCGCTGCTGGCACGTTCGTGCCCGGGAAGTGCAGCTTCCCACGCTGCAGGTCTGCGGATCTGAGGTTAGGCGTCTCTGACAAGCCCCTTGTGGGTGCGGCTCTGCCCACTGCTCTTGGAGCAGCAGGAACCGGGAGCTGCATCCTTTTCCAGGTTTTGGTGATTCTTCCCATCTGGTTGTGACTTTTTGTTTTTACTCAACGTGTTCCTCTTTCAGAGCTTGGATTATGATCGCTGTATCAATGACCCTTACCTGGAAGTTTTGGAGACCATGGATAATAAGGTGGGTCCCTTATTGATCTCTTGGGAGTGGTCTTATGACAGCTTTGTTTTCTGTTCTCAGTTCTCCAGTAAGTATGTGTACCCCTTGGCCTTTTAACTGTCCATGAGATATCCGCATTTATTCCTTACACCTTCATCCTGCCAACCGGAGGACCCACTGTCAGGGCACCTGGCCCAGCCACTTGGCGTTCATCAGCCTTTCACTGTAGAGCACCTGCCATACCAGGCATTACCACTGTGCCTGCTGTCCACATGGAATCCAGTCTAAACCTGGTTGGCTGAGATGTATTCCTTCCCTGCAGCCAACATAACCCTGTAATAAACTGCGTCATTCTTTTCCTTTGTGAACAGAAAGGTCGCAGGTATGAGGCGGTGAAGTGGATGGTGGTATTTGCCATTGGAGTCTGCACGGGGCTGGTGAGTAGGCAGGACGTGGGGAGATGGCCGGCCAGAGGGCTGCGGGGGCGAGGGGGCCAGCTCCAGCCTGGTGAATAAGTTGTTTGTCATAGTAACAGAGACTGCCTTCTTTCTCTCTCTCTTTTTTTTTTTAAATAATAATCCTGACACTTTTTTTTTTAAATTCTGACACTTTTTCATGCTTCTCTTTCTTTCGTTTTATGAAATGAAAGTGAGCCATGCAACTCTGGTGCCCTTTAAAGCACTCGAAGGCTTGGTCAAGACCTAGCCCTATGGAGTGATGTGGTCCCGCCGGGTAGAGAGCAGAGTGGGGAGATGTTGAGGTCACTCTGTTGGGAAAAAGCAAAGTAAGGGGAACAAAACAGTGACCATTGTGCCCTTTCCTCTAGCACAGTGTGCCAACAAACAGCACCACAGATCTCCGTGAATTCATTACGTTGTCCATCTTCCCTGCACACTGCTCATTTTACCTAGAAGGTAGAGCTGGCAGTTGTGGGTAAGGAATATGCCTGGAAGCACAGGGTTCGGGGTCAGCATGTTCACAGGTGAATCACAGACAAGAAGAGATTATGAAACATTGCCAAAGATGGCAGTAGCGAAAGTCTGGAACCATTAACTGCTGACTCATTATGCTTAAACCTGGAGACGAGAAGCTGGAAAAGTCAGCAGTCAACATGATAGCTGTCAAATCTGATTTTCTATCAATACAGTGTGAGAAAAGGGGATTGTCTTAGTCATTTTAGACTGCTGTGACAAAAATACATGGACTGTGGGGCTCACACAACAGACATTTATGTCTCACAGCTCTGGGGTCTGGAAGGTCCAAGACCAAGGCACCAGCAGATTCAGTATCTGCGGAGGGCCCAATTCCTGGTCCATAGATGGTCATTTTCCCACTGTGTCCTCACATGGCAGGAAGGGTGAGAGCTTTCTGTGATCGCTTTTATAAGAGCATGAATCCTAATTCATGAGAGCTCCACTCTCATGACTTAATTACCTCCCAAAATCCCCACCTCCCAATACTGTCACATTTGGGGTTCGAATTTCAACATACGAATTTGGGGGTGGTGGGGGAACACAGACATCAGTGCATAACAGAGGTTATATATAGTCTTAAGCAGTAGCCTGTTTATCACCATTCTCTAGAATCAACCACAAGCCTCATACTTTACCAGATATATCCATTAAACAGAAACACACATTTAAATATAACATAGCCACAAGGGCTGTCTGCAATTTGTACTTTCATGGCACTTGTCAAATATTTTTCTGTAACAAATTCAGAGGTCAAGGAACATCTTACATCTTAGTTAAGATTAATGGCATTTGGGAGGTCTCTTTGGTAACATCATGATGGATACCATTGTGGGGGCAACTTGGGTTGATTTAATTGTTCTGTTGACGTTTCAGAGTGTCTGTTGTGCTATATATGTTTCTGGTTGCAAATTTCCCTCTAATGAGCATAGTCATTACTCAGCTAGTTGTTAATCTTGTGCTACTTTGATATCGAAGTCCTTTGAACTGGCATCTGTCAGTACTAGCAGTTTCACAGAGCGCCCTCACCTTCCAGGAAGGCAGACCTGCCTTTATCATGGAGCAAGGAGAGCCTCTTGCTACTGGTTCTCTTAGACTTTGATCTGTCACCATGTATTGTTTCATTATTTGAAAGCCTCCAGGCATTGGCTTGAGGGAAGGCCAGAGTTAAAGGCAGAAGCCTTTGATCCTGGATCCACAAAATCAGAAGTTTTTCCAGTTCTCCATTAAGTCCTGAGCATGGACTTCTGAGAGCGGAACAGTAAAACTGGAGTGATTTTCTCTTATTTACCAGGGTAACCATTGGCTCTAAGATGGTTGTAAGTCGAAATCATGGCTTATGAAATGTAAAACAGTAACAAGAAACATGTGAAAGTCGTATACTGCACCCAAGTGAATGTTGTCTTTCACAGTAATATCCTACTGTCGTAAGCTATGCTACGTTTATCCAGCCGAGCATCGCTGAAAACATGTTTAGAATTTTTCTTTTGAAACTGTCTTTGGCAAGAGCAGTGCAGGTCCTCCCACGTCTCCGTGCTGTTGCTCTCTAATCATGGGTGGCCTTCCTTGGTCTCAGATCTTTTTTTGGCAACCCTTTTTCTCTTTCTGTTTTACTCTCCTATCAACTTAGCTGTACCCCCTTCTTCTGTTCCTTGGAGGGGCCGTGGGGCCAGGCTTGGGTGGGGATCTCCTGTAGCCAGGGGTGCATGTGACCAGCCAGTGTAGGCAGCGGAGGAAGGTGGGGCTTCACGGGGGGCTGCCTGTAACAGTGGGGAGACCTGGGTGACGGCTCACTTGCTCTTCACAGGTGGGTCTCTTCGTGGACTTCTTTGCTCGCCTCTTCACCCAGCTCAAGTTCGGAGTGGTGCAGGCGTGTATCCTTTTCACGGTTCTTGGTGTTCCCGGATGTCAGCAGTTGCTGACTCGGCTTTCCTGTCTGGAAATGAGTTTAGCAGTAGATGTGATCTTTGAAGAGCTATTTATTAGCCATTTGGGTTTAAGGGTTTTCCATTATCATTGAAGGGCACCAGAGAAAGTCTTGAATGGAGAGAGAGAGATGCTCACATTCATGGTTCGTAAAACACAAACCATGGATGCCTGTTCTCCCTAATCTATAAATGCAGTGTGGTTCCAATGAAAATTCCAATGGAATTGTTTGTGAAACTCAAAAATTCTCTCCCTAAACTTGTATGGAATAATAAAGCGCCCCAAAGTAGCTGAAATAGTTTTGAACAACAGACGGGGGACTTCATATATTCTCTCTCTCTATTAAAGTCTTTCTCTTGTGTCCTTCAGTGATGTCAATACAATTTAAGATACAGTAGCTGAATTAGTGTCATTGGTGCTAGGATCCCCAATTAGACCAACGGAAAGAAATAAAGAAGCAAAATTGGCCCGTGCATATATAGAAATGTGGTAAATGACAGAGTTAGTGATATAACTCAGTTAAGAAAAGATGATGGGATATTGGTACTTTGTACTATAAATTAATTAC